AGAGAGAGAGAGAGAGAGAGAGAGAGAGAGAGAGAGAGAGAGAGAAGAGGAATGGAAAGAAATTTTATCCCGCAATATGGATATTTCATATATTTAGTTTGCGCTCTTTTGATGTACTATGTATACATGCAATATTATCTTGTGGTCAATTTAGGGCGTCATGGACATCATAAACTCTTGCCTGACCCTGTCATCAATGATCGAAGCAAAAGGATGCCAAATGTCCTTGCCTCATAAGTTTCCCTATTATTATTTAATTCATCAATTTCAATTAATTTTTCAATATCTCTCAGTTTATGTTTCGGGCATTTCATTAAAACCTCTAAAATTATGTTGAGTGTAATTTTTTCTAGAATGAGGATCATCACTAAAAGACCAGTGCAATCTATTAAGAGGGTTCCTTCCACTTTCGCGGAATGAACCAAAATCGCATTCGTCGCCTTCTCTTCAATTTCCCACCGTGCACCCTCGCCGTGTTCTTTGTTGAGCGACTATGATGAGAGCAACGCCATGTGTCAAATGGAAAAGATCGTCTGTCCTCATCACGATGATCGGTATCTTGCGTCCTCAATTCCATACGAATTTGGAAATAACGCAACTTGAACGTCTGACAAGAGATCTTTCCGGTGCATCTACTTGCACGACACCCCCAATAAGACAAGTTTTCCTGACAGCATGAAATTAAGAACCGCACCAAATTATAGAACATTACACGAGGTAATGTTTGGGCCAGGTTCGTCATTGTTGTCAATTTTATTACTGATGGCTTGCGTTGTATCACTGAAGACTTGTCAACACTGGAAGTTCCGCTTCTCATCAACCAGGACGAAGTATTACATACAAATTCAGCATCAAGTGCGGGGCTCCAGGAAAAAATAATCTGACCGGTATAGAGGGAAATTAGTGTGACCCAAATCCATAAAAGACAGAATAATGATACTGGTACTGGTAACGATGTTGCATTACTCGATGATGATGATGATAATGGTAATGCTGATGTCGCGTCAGTGCCACTGCTGACACAGAATGAAGAGGAGGCACTCTTGGTGGATGGTGGCAAGGAGAACTCTGGACTATTTCTTGCAATGTTTTGTGGATCTACAGCAGAACAAAGAAAAATAAAGTGTTAATGAAAAAATTCTTGATTTTCTAACACAGTAGATAATTTGCACATGCTACCACTTCCGCTGCTATTCAATAGTAGTCACAGAGACTTTTAGTTTTTTTGCCGTGAGACTTCCAAAGAGACTTTCTGGTTTTGAAAATCATGTCTTGACGAACTAGAAATGCGAATTAGTAAATCCTTCGGCCCTAATAATGCCTGATACGCCGGCGATAAGGTGTTTAGAGTGTAGATCACAGGGAGAGATGGGGTGAAACGGAAAGGGAGTCTTACTGTGCTCGAGCCCTGATTCAAGCGCTGAGAATGCAATTTTCCGGTGTTCATGTAATTATTTAAGTGTGCACATCTTTGAATAGTGATTTTATACGTCAGATTGATTGATTGTTTTCCCATCACGTACGGGTGTCAAATAAATTTTATTGGATGTTCTTGTAATTATTGAAAAAAAATGAAAATGCATCTCGAGGTGGTAAACCTGTCGAGTGATCTCTCCCTCTCTGCCTCTCTCCCTCTCTCCCTCTCGGCCTCTCTCTCTCTCTCTCTCTCTCTCTCTC